TCTATTCTATTCTATTCTATTCTATTCTATTCTATTCTATTCTATTCCATTCCATTCCATTCCATTCCATATTTTCTATTCCATTCCATTCCATTCTATTCCATATTTTCTATTCTATTCCATGCCATTGCCATTCCATATTTTCTATTCTATTCCATTCCATATTTTCTATTCTATTCTATTCCATTCCATATTTTCTATTCTATTCCATTCAATATTTTCTATTCCATTCCATTCCATTCTATTCTATTCCATTCCACTCCATATTTTCTATTCCATTCCATTCCATTCTATTCTATTCCATTCCATATTTTCTACTCTATTCTATTCTATTCTATTCTATCTCTGAAGAGATACTGTTGTTCAGTTTAGATCATTTTGGGGTGTTTCCATTCATTCCATATTTTTTCTATTCTATTCTATTCTATTCTATTCTATTCTATTCTATTCTATTCTATTCTATTCTATTCTATTCTATTCTATTCTATTCCATTCCATTCTATCCCATTCCATTCCATTCCATTATATTCCATTCCATATTTCCTATTCTATTCCATTTCATTTAATTCCATTCCATTATATTCTATTCTATTCCATGCCATTCCATATTTTCTATTCTATTCCATTCCATATTTTCTATTCTATTCCATTCCACATTTTCTATTCCATTCCATTCCATTCTATTCTATTCCACTCCATATTTTCTATTCTATTCCATTCCATTCTATTCCATTCCATATTTTCTATTCTATTCTATACTATTCTATTCTATTCTATCTCTGAAGAGATACTGTTGTTCATTTTGGGGTGTTTCCATTCCATTCCATATTTTCTATTCTATTCTATTCTATTCTATTCTGTTCTGTTCTGTTCTGTTCTGTTCTGTTCTGTTCTGTTCTATTCCATTCCATTCCATTCCATTCCATTCCATTCCATTCCATTCCATCCTATTCCATATTTTCTATTCTATTCTACTCTATTCTATCCTATCCTATCCTATCTAGATGAACATTAACCTTATCATAGCTATCCAAGTTTAATATAGTTAAAGCAGTAAAACGAAACATTTACAGCTCCAATCTCCCTCCTCCATACATTCTGCTCCCTTCCTCCCAGTTAGTTATAAGCTGTATTTTTATTGCAATTTTACTGTGATTTTATACAACACACACAAACACACACACACACATATGAAGGGAGAGTGTGTTTGTGTGTGTGTGTTATTTGGATGTTGTAAGCTGCCTAGAGTTCCTTTGCAGCAAATAAATTTAATAAATAAAATAAAAATAAAGAAATGATGGCTAAGGAATACAGGGAGAAAGTCTCCAATCTGTTGTTTTCTCCTATGTTCTGTGCAAGAGCTTGAGCTCATTATATCCTGCATAATATGCTGGGAGGGAGGACACTACCACTTCACATTGCAAATTGCAGAAATATGCCAAAGGGGCTTTTCCAAGAGGCAACTGGACATCCTTGCATGTGTTTTTTAAAAAAATTGCTTCTAATTCAAGAAGCTTCTTCTGTTCATTTCAGCTCATTTAGTTCAGTTCAGAACAACTGCAGGGATTTGCTTAACAACCATGGCAAAAAGGGCACAAAATGGGGCACGGTGCACTTAACAACTGTCTTGCTTAGCTATGGAAAATTTTGGACTCAATTATGGTCGTAAGTTGAAGCCTACCTGTATTGTGCAAACAGAATGCAGTCACCTATTTTTTTGCTGTTGCTCTTAAGCAAGTTGTTTTTAACGGTGCTTTTGCCTTAGGGAATTTTGTCCAGCCATGAATCTGTCCAACCTCCTTTGATGATGTATATTCATAAACACTATTTTATAAAAATAACATAGTAAGGATGAATAAAAGGGAATGTTGTCACTGAAGGTTGAACTGTGCGGTCCTTGGTGCTCTCTGAGCTTGGTGGTTTACTTGAAGAAGTTTCTTTACCCAACTAGGTAACTTCATCAAAGCTACAAGGGAGGAGGAGGGAGAGGAGGAGGAGGAAGAGGAGGAGGATTGTGAGGTCCTTGGTGGTCTCTGAGCTTGGTGATTTTCTTGCAGATATTTCATTACCCAACAAGGTAACATCATCAGAAC